TCCAAATGCAGGTGCCGGCAGCAATATCGAGTACATTTTCAACCTTTGAGAGGTCAATGGTGGTTGGAACTGCCGATGACCACCCGTAGATAGCCTTCTTCATAGCATACTGTTTGGCAAGCCTTCATCGAGTCGTGTGAGTTCAGGAGCCTCTTTCTCTGACTCAAAAATGCACACCTTTCTTTCTCAGATGAGATGGCGGGGATGATATACCGGGAGGTCGTCTGGAGGTCACGGGCGTCCGAGGTCATTGTCGCGCTGAACGAGGGGGGAGGGATGGGATACAGATTCAGAATTGATCTGTCTTAAAAGCCCATGATGCTTACATTCAAGTCGACGACACACCGTCAGTCCTCTGCCCCAGACCACCTAAAGATCTGTTAGAATTACTTGTTTCGGCGTGCTACGGCATTGTGATACGCATTCGCGTATCAATACATCTTTTATCGCCTTGCCTTACGCGTTCATCTGAGTCCTCTGTGCCCGTGTCTGTGTCTCTCTGTGCCCGAGTCGAGCTGCCATCGCAGTCTCATCCTTTCTCCCCTCCTATTTCTCACAAGATCCGTTTATGGTCTCCGGGGGGGGGGATGATACGATGCCATGTTCCACATGCACTGGACCCACAATCCAACGTTAGGTCCTGGGTCCAGAAGACACTGCATGACAGGAGCGTCGGATGTGCACGGCGGTGATATCCTCTTCGTTCTCCAACAGCGGGGAAACCCAATTGAGACCTACCTCCAGAATCCCAACCAGTCGGCGGGATACCTTTAGACCGGAAGAATGATATTATGTTCCTGTTCTCTGGGAACTGAAAGGTTGGCAACGGGGCTGTTGGGGTGAGAAGAGCACCGGACCGGCACCGTGGCTCCCAGACCGTTGGCGAGCAACTATCAGGAACGCAATCTTGCCGTGATACGGGCCCATGCGCCTAAGAAACCGAGTTCCAACGACCCACCGCCTCCACCAAATCTGCGCCGCAGTACCGATCCCAATCATCACATCTGTGGCATTATTTTGGGGTGACAGACAAACGCCGTGGGTTACACGTTGCGCGATTCTTTCCACAGCCGGACCGAGTGAGAGTGCACGGTGCCACAATGGCGGCAACTCACTGCACTCATAGAAGCGGCATCGCACACTGCGCGGGATCTTGTTCCGCGCTCTATAAATGTTCAAACCTTACATTTTAGGGTCTACAATTCTCCTTCGTGTTCTGAGTGATAGTTGGCCGGAATCAGTGTCGGCAAATTGACCAAATATTCTCGATTTATACAGAGGAATGCAGGCTTGATGTTCGGGACCCGCAAACCCCTTGGTTGAATCTCGGGTATCTCGGGGATGCCCTCGAATCTTAATCTATTCTTAGCCTGTTGAATCTGACCCAGCGCGCCACAAATTGGCATACGCAGGGACAGATTCTGTTGTTTCTGCTTCCTCCCTGAAGCCTGAGTGTTACACTCAAGCCAGACTTTGAATTTGAATTCAACCGCTTGTTTGTTTTCAACCGTGGGAATTTATTCTCAGCGCAGATGGTGCCCTCGAAAAACTGTGGTAGGAACGGCCATAATTCCCATGCATAATGGCCCCACATGCTACCGGTGACACTTTATTATCTGCTCACCCGTATATCTTGTGCCTCAAGAGTAGAAGCGGTTACGAAATCCTTAATCATTGTCAAGAAAACTACTACTTTAAACGCTGTATTCGAAGATAGAGCTACGATGCTTCGGTCAGTTATGGAGTAAAAATAACCCCTTTTGTGACGCATGCTCCTGGGTCTCGAATGCGAGAGTGCGCCGTCGAGGCTCAAATTGATAAGATCACAAGACTCCGCAGGTTCCGTCAAATGCCGAACGCTACCGCTCGCAAGTTGGTTGAACCTCAGCGATAGCACTTTCACGCTCTCATGGCGACGCCAGTTTTGTAATAAGAACGTCAAATTTAAGGAATTGTGGAACTGCTAATCTATGCCCGGTCAGGGAACTGGCGGTCGGACATGGTAATTTCCTCGGCATTATATAGTGCGTCAATCTCCGCAGAATAAATGTGCAGAGCCGCGGAACGACGTGGCGTACCCTTGGGAGTGTATTCCAGTGGTTTCGAAGAGGAAGTTACGATGATCATCTAAGGGGAAAAAATGAGTTGCCCACAATAGATCGATAAATTATCTGGGGACGTTACATTCTTGCTCACTTGCGCATATGCAGAAGCCTTAGAGTTTGCCTTCTCAACTATCGGCCTGCTGACGGTTGACCAGGAGTCCAGACCGAGACCAAAGATCTCTCACCAGATGAGGTTTCTAAATCGATCCAGTTGGACGTCATCCATGTTACCGTCTGAGGTCGGTTGAACGAGTATGCCTGTATTAAAGTGATTTGTCCCAAACACAATGACGGCGGCGACGTGTTTGTCTTGAGATATGATGTCCTCTGGGATGTGTTAGGATGGTAAAGGTCCGCTGCCGGCGTCTATCTGTACCTATCGGGAGTGGATTCACCTGAAGGACGTATGGGTTGAGTTTCTGAAAACAAGATGGAAAACACGGGATACGCACATGTTCTCCAGTAGATAGCATAATTTGGTCGTCCTGGCGTCCATAGACCCTCCATCGTTCAGGGTTAGCCGGATGGCGTTCAAGAAGATCACCGACGTTGAACGCAGGTTTTTCGTCATGTAACGTGTTAAACGCGTGGGGGAAACATTTTTCCGTGGGCTGAGACCGTGTGATTAAACGATGACTTGAACAAGCAGTGTTACAATCCATACAATCATGATTGGTTCAAAGACGTTTTCGAGAGTTTCGTGTGGCTTCATGAAAAATGTGATGTGGTTGGAAAGTTTGAAATACTCCCACTGCCCGGACGGAGGGGGCCGAGGAACGAACATGGTCGCAGGTCCAACCTCGGTGCTGTTCGCAAGTTAACGCATGGAGCTCGTCATATTATGTGTTGACTTACCTCCCCCAGAATGGATGCATGACCACCCCCGATTCCGCCAGCATGTCGCCGATGCTCTTGTTTACCGACGCGCCAGAGAAAATCTGCATGCAGAATTATATTGAGGGATTTACCGAGCAGTTGAAAGTCGAACAATCGCGTCCAACGCCTTGAGTTTCGCAACATTTGCAGAGTCTTGTGCCCAGGCCTGCGGTGGATGAGAATCGTCAGTCGTGTCAAACAAACGGGTTTCCGGCTACGTACCTCCAAGAAAACTGGCACACAGAAGACAATGTCACATTTATCCGCCATCCAACTCGCCATAAAGTTTGCGGGCGTCGGCACGATAGGCTTGAAGGGGTTATACACCGCGAAGATGGCTCCACTTGTCGGCTTGAGAGGAATATAAATTTCAATACGGATTAACGAACCAAAGTTCTTACAGGCCACTGGTTCGATATCAGCATCCATGTTCCTTGTAATGAAAATTAACTCACAATATACGTGCCCGAACCCATAGCATCTATCTCGACGGTGAATTAGTTTGTGGAGGGGGTAAATCGATCTCACGGAAGGCGGGGTTTGTGTGCGCAGCAATACGTTTACTTGCAAGGTCTACTTCTCCGTAGTCTTTGAAGCATCTCTCAGAATCCAAATTTCTGGCAAGGCATCAACTTACACGGGATGTTCGATAAATTGATCAGCCCTTTCTTCGTGATCTTGATAGGTTTTGGGAAAGCGGTGGTCCCTGCAGGCGGTATGAAACGATACAAACACACAATGATAACAGAATAGAAACCCGAGGAATGAAGAATGAGCACTACGTCCTCGGCGTGGACTCTGGGAAGCTCTTCCCCCTCGATTTCCTGGCGTTTCATCAACTCCTCGTATTGAACCATGGGGAAAATATGGAGTTTCAGCCGGTCCTTATCAAGCAACACTGCCGCATCTTTGGCGAGGGAGTAGCTGGGACCGTCTGGATTGGTAAATATATGTGATGCACCGGTTTTCTTCAACAACTCGGCGGTGGCTTCGGCGCTGTTCCGCGGGTACATCGGAAATCCCGTGTGCCCCAAACTCATGATCCCTATGAGCAGATAAATATAACTGAGAGTGTCTGCGATATTCCATTAGCGATTGACGTTAACCACTGGCAGGACGGGAAGCCGCACCCGATGCCGCCATTACCGCAATAACCGCTGGGCGATTCGGTGCAGTCGCCTGTGGCTTCGAGAGATGGTGGGACACGATGGCCGCAGCTTTACGAATGCCCAACCACGCCTCATGGTAGGTGATGAATGTTGTGTTTCCTTCCTCGACATCGGAGTACATAAATGCGGGATGTGTAGGACTGTTGAGGGCATGGTATTTGTAGAGCTCAGGAATGGATAGATCGTGATTCAAAGGGGCAGGATGGAAGGTCGAGGAGTTTACTGCTTGAGGGGTTGTACGAGAAGCCATTCTGGACTCTGGTGAGCAGGCCCACTGAATCCCCGCTGTTATATAGCTAGATGGTACCGTTTATATTGCCTCGGGCAGCTCGTAGAGTTTGGCCCCTCGGCGACCCCATACCTCCGCTGTCCGGTGGATGCCTGTGGGTCCACGGCCCAAGGATTATACACCGGCTTCCATGAAAAGAATCGAACCTTGAACTTGACTCTATCCCTGGGTTAAATGAATCAGCAATTTTCTGGCCGCGGGCGACGGAAAAAGACACGTACAGAACAGGGATTCGGAGACAGGGAGTCGAACCCTGCGCTGCCTCATAATACGGATCTCGACAAAGCAAGCGAGGCGGTGTACCGTACACAATCTCCTAGTACTTAATCGGTGTAGCTGTGAGCTGAGGAGTTTGTGTCCTTTAGACCAGGCCTAGGGCCATTAGCAATTGACTTTCTGACGTACTTGAGAAAAAGCACACCTCGACGGCATGCGGCGCGCGGGCAGCCAGCCACCACAATTCCGTGCGAGCTGAGACAAGAGCTACTTCTCCCCAAGTACCCGCGCAGGCAAGCTATTCTGTTCAACCACGTGAAAAAGAAGAAATTTCTCATCGCGATATTCGAACGCGGGGAGTCGAACCCCGGACTTGCCTCATACTACGCTTGTTCTCTTCGACACAGCGGGAGAGGATGTGTGCCGTGCACCACGTTCGAGCTTCCTAACTCTGTTATGCGTGGAACAAGTTGGGCAATTTCCTGGATCGAAAGAGGGGGAAAAACGGTGTGGTAGCCGATAAATTCGGAGCCACGGAGTCGAAACCTGCGCTGCCTCATAACAGTGGAGGTCGTCAAGTATGCGAGGCAGTGTAGCGTACACCACCTCCGAGGAGTTGGTGTAGTTGTAGAGCTGAGGGATTGTGTGAGGGTTATTAGCGACTGGCTCTCAAGGAAAAAAGTACACACCTCGACGACACTTGCGACGACATCCGGAGGGTAGACGGGCAGCCGCCACCACAGTCCCGCGCAAAGGACCGAATGCTTTCCCTGAGTACTGAGTACCCGCGAAGCCAAACTACTCTGTCCAACCAAGTGAAAAAGAAAAAGGTTTCCGGTGGTATACCCATTCGAACGCGGGGAGTCGAACCCCGGACTTGCCTCAAATGTCTGCTCTGTTCAATGCAACGCAAGTAGAAGAGAATGTGTGCCGTACACCACGTCCGAGTTTCCTATGTACTTCCTTTTCATGTGCCAAAGGTGGGGGGAAAGGGGTAAAAAACTTGAACGCCGTTCGCTCGAGTCGCTCTTGAGACAAATCCGGACACAGGGAGTCTGCAATGGCATGCAGGGCGAGGGTCCAGGACGTCCATATCCGATTCACCAAGTTGTTCTTGACATGAGCGGGCAAAACTTGGGCAGGGACAAGAGACGGGAGCGTCGAAGTTTCGGACGAGTTGAATCCGATCACCTGATCGCGTGCCGAATTCGCTTGTTTGCCGAGGCCATTCGGAACACACAAACCTCCTTGAGACTTTCACCGCGAATGTGCGTGCGCATACCCAGTTCTTGGGCTCCAACAAATGATAATCCTCCCGCAGGCCTAGTCATAGGAAAAAATCGAGGCCAACGCGAACTCAATCGACTCAGAGTCTGGGAAAGCAGAGCAAGAAGACCGATCCAAGCGCGATTTGGCGCGCTTCGCCTACGCCACCAACGCCGTGGGACGAAGAAGAGGAAGACCAAGATTTTGGTATAGAAATTGTAGGGGAGGAGATGGGTTATGAAGAACAGATAAAGTATGTTTCTTCCAATATTCAATGTTTTTTACATCTTACCATCTCCAGATACGAGGTAAATAAATTGCCACTCTTTTGAAGCTCATTGCGTTACATCAGTCGCCAGGTAAAATGGAAAGGGTGGCAGCGGCCAGATGGTACCAGTACAACTTGGGAAGGGCCCGACACCATCAGCGAGCCGCTCCCGACGCAGGCGTGGATCGATAAACGGCTCGCGGCGCTTCCCGAGACCACGGACGTCAGGCTCTGGGGCACCACCGATATCGTGAACACCCGCACGCGCGAGCGCAGGCAGGGATATGCCCGGCAGACGCAGCAGCAGCTCGCCGCGTACCAGGATGAGACGGACGGGTTAATGCGCAGGATGGAGGAGTTGCGGGAGGAGAATTCGGAGTTGTTGGGTCGCAAGGGGAAAGGGAAGCAGACGCAGACGCAGCCGGTTCCGCTACCGCGTCGGAGTCAGCCCCCAAATACTCAGGTGCAAGCAGACCCGTCCGCGCGCCGCATCCCCCCTGTCCAGGTCAACGCAGAGGCGGGTCCGTCACGCTTCCCCTCTGCTCCCGCTCCCGCTCCACCTCTCCCGAAGGCGAGACCGTCCGCCCCCACTCCCTTATCCAAACTCAAACCAAAAGCCAAACCGCTCTCTCGCACCCCCGTACCTTCCTCGTCTTCCACGCCGTCTCTACTTCAAGTTCTCCCCACCCCTGCGCCCAAGCCCCCGCACGCACGCAAACCGTTACCGCTGCAGTTGCCGAGCGCTCCTCAGGCTGCGCTTCCACCCGACTCAGTGCGCACCGGCTCGGCGGCTTCCCGTTCTACGAGCAAGCCGACCACCACGAACGCAAACTCAAAACCCCCACCTCCAACAAATTCAATTTCAAAACAAACAACAAAGCTCTCCAACTCCAAAACACCTGCCACCACCTCTACCTCCACCTCGACACCCACACGCCGTCGCTCCCCCTCGATCATATCCATATCCTCTGACGGCTCCGACGGGATCGAGGTCATTGACGGGTTCGGGGATGCGTCGAAGCCTCCGCCCGTAACTCGGAGTGCGAGTGATGCGGGTGCAGGTGAGGCGAATTCCAGCGCAAACGCAAATGCAAACGCAAAAGGAAAGCGCAAGGCGTCCTCCCCGCCCGCGGAACCGCAGCCGCCGCCGACGCGAATCAAGGTGGAGCGCATGATGAAGGTGACGGCGGAGCGGGTGGCGCCCGCGAGCGAGGAGGACAAGGAGCCGGAGGTGGAGGTGGACTTGATACGCAGGCCGAGGGGAAAGGGGACCTTGAACAACAACGCGACACCGACGTCCGCGCCCAGGCCCCCCCGCGTGTCCCTGCGTACGTTGTTGGATTCCAGGAAAGTGGAAGTGGAAGCCATGATGCGGAGGCTGAACGACGCGGCGCCGACGTCCGCGCTCGCGTCCTCGTCGAAATCCACACTCGGGCCCACGCCATCGACCACCTCGTTATCGACTTCCAGGGACGGGGAAGGGGAAGGGGAGGTAGATCTCATGCGGAGGCCGAGGGGGAAAGGCACCTTGAGGAACACGACACTGATGTCCGCGCCCGCGTCCTCGTCGCAGCTGAAATCTACCCTCGGGTCCGCGCCATCGACCAGCTCGTTGTCGAATTCGAGGGAAGGGAAAGGGGAGGTAGATCTCATACGGAGGCCGAGGGGGAAAGGGACCTTGAGGAACGCGACACCGATGTCTGCGCCCGCGCCCGCGTCCTCGTCGATGGGGCTCGTACGCGCAAATACGGCGCCCGATGTGACGACGCCACCGCAGATCAAGCGCGCGGTGATGTCTGCGTATGCGTCCACGTCGACCGCTGCGCCGGCGCGCGGGCTCAAGCGCAAGGCTTCCATCTCGTCCGCGGCCACTTCTACCCCAAACACGTCATACGTCCCTTCCCTCTACTGGGACCCAGACGGCGACGTCGACCTCATGCGTCGGCCGAAACGGGCTCGGGGTACGGATGCGGATGCGGAGGCGGATAGTGATGCGGAGCCGAAGGTGGAGGAGGAAGAGGAATCCGAGAGCGACGAAGGCAACAAAGGCAAGGTAACGGCGTCCAGCCCGCGCACATCTCGGCGTCTTCGAGGCGCGAATGTCGATCTCGACGACGAAGGCGTAGTGTGTGCGTGCGGCACCCTCCTTCCGCCGCGGGACACACGGCGGGACACGCGGCCGTGGGACATGTGCCATTTGTGTCATGCCGGGGAGCGCGGGCGGGAAGAGCTCGCTCGTCGTAACTCGGAGCGCGAGGAGGGCCTGGAGCACGCGAGCAATTACCCGCCTCCGAGGAGCGACAGCCTTGGGGTTACGACGTTACGGGGGAGCAGTACGACGAGTACCGCTCGTCACCCGCCGCCGCCGCCTCCGCTCTATCCAAGTAGCAGGCAAACATGCCGCAAAAGCACCGGGGGCAAGCCGGGAGGTTCCAGCCGTAGCGCCAGCGTTGCTACTGTCAGCAACGCCAGCACGAGTAGCACTGTGATGTCTATTCCACCCCGGCGGACGCGAAGTAGGATTTTTCCGGCAGAGGCCGAGACGATGGAGATTAATGCCCAGAACTTCAAGTCGAAGGTCCTCGTCCGACCGCCGCCGCCCCAGCAGCTCTCGGACAGTCTGTGGAAGAAGGGAAAGATGCCGGAGACGAAGAGTCGGTGAGTTTTTATGTTCTCTTCGCCTTGACAAACAATGCTGATGATATATCTACTTGCAGGCGCCTTCAAATTGAAACTGAGTGGTCCACCATCGCCCAGAGCTGCGACGGCGCGGCGGGGATCACGTTCGTGAACGACAAGGACGACGAGGAGGTGCCGCCGTCGATAATGCGTGTTGACTTCGTGTATCTGGAGGACAACTACCATGCGTCATCGAACCTGAAGCTTAATACGCGCCCGTGAGTCGCCTTTCGCCGTGACTTACTTCTTCCCTCCTCATCTGCTATAGGGACGCCGCAACACCGTTGGTCCCCGATGAGCTGGTTGACTACATGACGTTCTGCCGCTGCACGACGGACTGCGTGTTCGAGGATGATAACTGCTGTCAGGACAGGGAGGAGCTGGCAGGACAGGGACTGCACGGATTTGCCTATACCAATGTGTGTATACCTTTTTCTTATCCTGTCTTTGCGCGCTCACCACCGATACCAGTCCCTCTTCAATTTCACGTACGCCCTTCACCACGTCGTTGTAGAGTGCGGGCCGGTATGCCCTCAGTCGTTGTTCAAGACAGTAGCTGATGGCTGCTTTAGTTCTGTCAATGCCCTGTGACCTGCGGCAACCGCGTCGCCCAGCGCCCGCGCCAGTTCCCGATCGAGATATTCAAGGTGTCGTCGGACTGCGGGTGGGGTGTCCGCACTCCGGTGGACATTGCCAAAGGGACGGTGCTTGGCCTGTATACTGGGTACGTTCTTTCCTGGCTTCGTGCTCTGTTTGTCTGATTGAGCGTGCGCACAGGGAACTTATGTACGTTCTCCGCACGATCACCGTGACCACCGCGTCTAACCGATCTTTCCAGCACGCGAAACCGAGCGGAAAAGCTCACAGGGAAACGCAAGGAATATTGCTTCGACCTGGACTATAATGATCACGCCGAACCCAAACCCAAAAATCTGTACACCGTCGATTCGTACCGGTATGGTAGGTACCTCGCTTCTCCCCTCTCCCCACACCTGATTGATTCTCCCAGGCAACTGGACGAGGTTTATCAAGTGAGTTCCATGTCGCCTCTAAATTGAATGTGCATTCATCGTGATTGTCATTAGCCACTCGTGCGAGCCAAATCTGCGCGTACAGCCGGTTGTATATGATACCATCCCGCAGGTAAGTGTGTTTCTCCCGTTCTCTCGAATGAAGCTAACTCGACCATAGCAAAACATCGCTTTCCTTGCATTTATTGCAAGTGAC